ATTACACCAATCGTAACCTTGTTTAGTCGTTTTCTCAGACCGATCCGATTGATACGTCATATTTGGTGAGCTGTTGAAATGGGAATTGTTGAATCAACTGCTGTCGTTGACGCCTTGGTTGCTGAGCTTGCCGAAAATAAGTTGATTTTGCTTAATTAATCTATTTTGAGAAGGTTTTAACCGGAAATGAAATTCGTTTGTGTATGATCAAAAGGAATATCGCGATGATAATCGTTACAATAAGAATGATGATAACAATAACAATGACAGTAAGAGCAAACAAGAGCAGCAACGAAAAACCTTCATCCACATCCTTTCGTCCATTCGGATCATTCTAATCGTCTCCAGGAGTAAGCCGCCTGCTCATGCCACACCGCTGAAGACGATAAATCCGACGGCGATTACAACTGATACCCAAAATATCGTGTCGTCTTCATCCACTTCTTCTGAAAGACACTGTCAATGAAGGTTGATTTATTAACTGAGCATTACTGTTTTGTCTATTTTGTCTATTCTGTCATTATTAATCTCTTCCTTATAAGTGCTCATTTATTGCTTCATCGATGAATTGGTTCATTTTTTAAGTTCTTTTCCACTCATTTTTTTATAATGAATTTTGTTTCTCAGTGGAGTAACTAGAAGCTTCAAATGAAACAACACTCGGTGTCTTTCGGCTGTAACATATTAATGATATCTACTTGCACTTTTATCATTTACAACCGCTTACATCAGTGAATCAATCGAATGACACCAGTAGTAATCTTCTTCAATTCTCCTCTCCGGCTGATCCGATTGATTCATCATATGTGGTGGAGTGAACAGGATCGGAGTTGTTGAAAGAACCGTTGCATATGCCGCAGTTGTTGAATAAACGGCACCGCTTTCATCTTATTTCTGATTGTCGCGACTGATATCGCGAAAGGGGAAGAATTGTTCTATGAATGTCATGTAAATTGAGATTATCCATCTGTATTGTGTGAGTGTTGATATTACAAGAGCAGCAACGAAAAACCCCCATCCAGATCACTTCGTCCTTTCGGTTTTCTCTAATTGTCTCATGGAGTAAGCAGGCTGCCCATGCCACAACGCTAAAGACAATTAATGCGACAACGACGACAACTGTCGCCAATAATATCGTTTCGTCTCCATCCGATTGTTCTTAAAGACATTGTCAATGTTCGAAATTGTTGAATCGACTGTTGTTGACGCTGTAGTTGCTGAATTATTCGGGAATGACCATTTTCATGTTTGAATGTTCGACAAAATTTACGACTGGTAATGTTCTGAGAATGGCACAAATTCAGCGTTCTAAAAAGTGTTTGTCAAGTTGAGAATGTGAATATGATTTTGGTGTGGATGGCTGATTGTACCAAATTCTCGCACTGTGATAGTCGACTGAATTCGAAAATTTCCATGAAATGAGATACTGAGAGCGAGATTCGCAAAAAGACGTACGTTGATCACCGTTGGATTCGGACGTGTTTCACGGTGCCGACGTCGGTCGACCTTCCTCTGGAACGTCCTTCCACAAACATCGCATGCGAATCCAAGCACGCCACACGATCGTACATTTCAATTGCTAGAATTTGCAACGCATTCTTTGCGTCATCTGCCATACGTGGACGGAGATAGAGTTCATTGTAACGGAGCAAGCCGTCAACTCGATAGTTGTTGTCTCGTGTATACGACTGATCCAAAGTCAGCGCTGTCGTGTTCTATACCAATCGTATACGATTCCACTCCAATGTCAAACAACAACTTCCGAAAAACCGTTTACCCTCAATATTAGCACCGCTTTAGGCGCTTAACGACCTTCGAAATTGACCTTACTCGCTAAAGGTGCTTGCACGCATTGTACTTCCGCAAGCTGGCCACGTCTGGATATAGGCCTGTCGAAGAAAGGCGCACTGCTGGCACAAAATCGTAACGTTGCCACTACAGTCCAATCAACGTTTTCACTGATGTACACTGGCCAATCTTCATCGGCGGCCCTCTTTAATATCTCGATTCTTGCCTCAATATCACCACGTTCAATCGAACGGTAGAGCCAAACGTACACAAGCACTGCTGCATTACGGTCGTGCTCCACGATTGGAACCGAATACACCTTTGATTCCAGGTTCTCAATTATCAGCTCTCGCTGTGCCAATGCAAAAACCATTAACCATCCACGAGCCCAGAAGGCAGCTCGGCTGTAATCGTGAGCGGGTGGTGTGAGCAGCCCCATGAACCCATCCCACTTTGAAAAATCTCGAAGTTGTGAAATATTGTTGACAGCCGGTACTGTTGTTTTGAAGTCCCACGCTGTGGGTGGACCACACGGGCAAGCAAATCCAGAATCCAAGGTTAGAATATCTATCTTTGACGATACATAAGCACCAAGATGCGCTCCGGTAATTACTTTTTCGTCTCTTTTTCGTCTTTTCCTCTTTTTCGCTCCGGTAATTACTCTACTTTTTCGTCATCATAATTCGACGTTGAGATATATGCTGATGGACCGGCGATATTCAAACTATCCAACAAGGAGCCTTTTGACGTTAACATGGGTCGATTAATACGCG